TGGTGATTTGCAATCATTTAGTGTTATGCCCTTGGTTGGCATTCGGGCATTTGCCCCCAAATCTTGTTGTTGTCATCTGTTTATGAATATAAATGATAGAAGCAAAGTGGGTGTATTGTGTCATTGTGCCCATTGGAACGTGGTAATTCAATTAGCTATCTGAAATGTTAGTATGGTGCAACATGGGACCTTTTCTTATTTGTTTCGTTTTTTTTCCCCTTTGATATATATTCTAATGGGAGGGGGATATCTAATTGACCATTGGCATCAACAGCCTCTTGATCAAGCTAGGATCCTAAAGTTGCCCTATATCAGTTGACTTCATATGAAAGAAAAGGGGGAAACTGAACAGAAAAATGAATGTGAGGGTGCACGGTGATTTCCTGAGCATACAACTCAATTATGTACACTATATTGAATAATATCACGTTGGTTTTACTGAAAAAAGAATATCGGATCAGTTTCTTTCTTTTCTTTGTTTTTTTTCAAATCTGGGGTAGTTAATAAACTCTGCATTTTAGGCCATGAATTATTTTTTATTCTTTCCTCTTTTTTTGTGGCACAGAATTTGAATGACCGATGTATCTTTGCAGGTGGAATTTTAAGAGGTTCTAGAAGAGAGAGATTATTAAGTAAATTTGTTGAAAATGAATGTGAGAAGATAGACAGGCTGATGGAACTATACATGAGGTAGGTCAGCTCATCCTCTTCTCTTTCTAGAGTTTATGATTATTTAAATTCATTGATTTGTTTGAAGTTTCGCAGTTAAAAAGCTTAATGAGATCTCTTGGTATCTCTTCAGATATTCTGATAGAGTCAAAGCAGAAACTGAACGAATGGAACAGATTCAACTTGATGACTTTGAGGTATTATACATAATACATAATTACTTGGCTCCTGCTTGCTCTTTTGAACTAAAAGTTTTACCCAAAATATAATATTTCTTCCTATGTTTTTACAGATGGATGAAGATGAGAAATACAACCGTAAACTAGAATCTGGACTTTATACTCTTCAGGTTAGAATTTCAGCATGGTTAATCATTTAGCTTCACCATTTGACCAAAAAAATCATTTAGCTTCACCATTAATGTCAGTACATTTTGTATGAACTAATGGTTGCAGGGCAACGAATTATAGCCTGTTATTACTTAAAGATTTTTTTTTTTTTGTCCTGAATTTGTGAATAGTGACGGTATTTTTGGTTCCTTAATAAATTCACTCATAATTAAAATGGCACAAATTATGTTCCCTTTTGGTTACATGGCAAGCAAGTTCTAATTTGTTCCCTCTACTTCAACGAGTTTATAATCTATAATTATTTACAAAAATGCATGTTACATGCATTAGTTTCTATTCAATTCTAATTGCTTTTTGGGAAAATCTGTGTCAACACCAATGACATTTGTAATAGCGCAATCTATAGATGTATAGATATCCAATTTTCATTAGCTTTTTTGTGTTGACTTTTTTCTTATGTGATCTTGCAGTTGATTGCAGTCATTCTTGGTCATCTTTGGTGCTCTGAGTAAGTATTTCCATTTATATATGTAAACATTAATTTTATAGAAAAACACATTAGACAACTGAGGCCTAGTTGCTACTTTGCTGCGTCAAATTTAAGAGGCTACAGATCACCCTGGTTTTTTTTTTTTGGGGGGGGGGGGGACGCACCCAGATGAACAGAGACTGAAAGTTGGCGTTTTCAGGATTTTTATTTTTTTTTCATTTTTTTTAAAGGGGGCAAAACAGGGGGTGGGGTGGGGTTTGTAAAACTGTGTTTTATAAATTCATGTGCTACAGCTGTAGTTGGGCCTCAGTTTGGGGGTAAAATGTATTTTGTCCCTTGACTTTAAAGAGCGTTGATATGCAGAGTTATTTCTGACTTGTTCCAAATATGTGCTTCCTGTGCAGACATCCACAAATGAGATCGAGAATTGAACTACTTCTCAAGCAGAACAGACTGGGTAAAAATGATATAAAGGATATACTTCAGGTATAAGAATTTGCTTTTCTTTTGAAATAATGCTTTTGATGCTTCTTTTGTCTCTGTACAGTGTGCAAAATATACAAAACGTACGATTATGCAAATTTACATAATGCCAACTTATTTCATGATTTTGGAAATTGGGAGTTACCCTCCACACCGCAGGAAAAAAGTTACTTTTGAGTTATGATGCCTGCAAGTTTGTTCATTCTTGGAGGAAAAGAATGTTGTGCTCCAGTTTAACTTCTCTTATATTAAAATTCCTCGCCTTTTATTTTTGTTTTTATTGTTTGTCCACTTTTAGGGCCAATTGGTTAAGGTTAAAGGTGATTTTTGTTAGGTTAAATGAGAAAACGCTGTTGGGAGTATGGTGAAGTTTGGTCCAACAGAGTGTCGTTTTGAAATCGAGACTTGATGGGTGCAACGACATTGTTATCACCATCAAGCCAAGACTTCAAATGACGGGAGTATGGAGAGGTTATTGGGAGAACATAGGCTAAATATAGAAGGGATGTATTGGAAAAAGCTTATTTTTTGGAACAAAACCTTCGTGATTATCTTAATGTTCTCCCAGTGATCAAGTATTAAACTTAACTAAAATTACTTTTTTTTTTTTGTAATTTTAAAAAGCAAATTGGCCCTTAATATCTGTGAACTGGGAATACTTGGATATCTATTGTGCTTGAATACAATGACTCCATACATGACTATAACATAGTCAGATAGTTAAGACTAATATTAAAGATGTGATGAAGTCTCCAAGCTTATTGAAATGGGTTCTTTCTCATTTTCAGGAATATCACGACAATATTGGTGATCTTGATGGACCAGAAGAGAAGGAACGAGCTCAGGCAAAAATTCAGAAGTTCATCTCGGCCTTATAACTGCTGTGACTTGTAAAGCTCTTAGGTTTCAGCAGGGCGTGTACTGTGATAAATCTGTCACATGTCAAGAAGCATGCTTAGATTAAACATGGAGATGGTAATGGAGAAAGAACTCTGGTTTGCAAATGTCTTATGTTGTTGAGCTCAGATTCATGTAGCTGCATTGTTTCTCTTGTTGAAAAAATTACGATGACAGTAACTTACCTTCCTCCGGAATCTATCTTATATAGCTCTCAAGCTTCTCCGTCTTAAGGCTACTGATTTATCAGTTATTTTCTAGGATTAGTGACTGGTCTAAATTTTTCAATAATATTTTCTTCTTCGTGATAATAATTTAGTCAAGAAATTGATCTTAAAATGATGAAGTCGAAAAACCAATTTTGATCTTATAAAATTTTTTTATTTTGGGGTGAAATGGTGTTATAATTTGATACAAGGACCTGACAGGTCAGGAATGGTTTTTTTCCCAATTTAACCTATGTTAGCTTTTTATGTTGCCTGGAGCAAACAAGCATAGGAAGCAATCCAACTGCTGCAACCAACACAACCATACGGCAGTACAAAAAATGACTTTTATTTGTAATTATTTTTTACAAACTGAAGTTTTTTTTTTTTGGGCCTGAACAAACTGTAGTTCAGTTGAGATAAAATTTAGTTAAATGTAATTTATATTTGGATGAATTTTTTAAAAAAGAAAAAAGATCAATTTGATTAGCCAAAACTTAAACTAGGTTTAGATGGAAAATGGTTGGAAAAAAGACAAGTTTCGTTAAATACACGTGTATATAATGTGACTGTTATAAGAAAAATATGAAAATTAAAATTTTTAGAGAGAATTTTGCAGTCCTATGATGATGTCAAATGTGTCTATATAAATCATTTTCCTTGATTCTTTTCATCACCACCTCAGCTTCCTGGGTGAAGGGAAACGGTGGCATTTGATGGGATCCAAAAAGATAAAGTTTAACGGACATTTTTAAGAGTTGATGAATTTTGTTATTTTTTTCCCTTTAAAAAGTTTATGTATTTTACATTCAAGAAAACTTTATAATGCTTAGTGCTTATTAGTGTTAATTTTGTTGTTAAAATTAGACTTTAAAACTAACTTTATAGACCTTATTAACGGATAATTACTCTGAATTAATGATGTTATTATTTTGTCTTCTTTTGATAAGTTCATATATATTTTTGCATTCAAAAAACTTTTATGGCACCCAGTGCCCTATTAGTGTTAATTTTGTTGTTAAAAATTGCACCTTAAAACTAACTTCACGGACCTCACTAACGGATATTTACCCCAAATTAACGGTGTTGTTATTTTTGTCCCCTTTTGACAAGTTTATGTACATTTTTGCATTCAAAAAACTTTCATGACTCCCAATGCCTCCTCATATAAACTTAGTTGTTAAAATTGTAACTAAACCCAATTTTTTTATTACTAGTTGTCATGCAATGAGTTGATTTGATAAGCAAAGGGCAACTTTAGTATTCGCAAGACTCATTCTAAGAATCACCCTGATTATGATTTCAACAACCCTTCTTTTGAGACGGAGAATTACCCCTTCGTTTTAGTAGATATGTTCTATGATCACTCTAAAACACGAACCAAAATGGGCATTTGGAATTTAATAGATTTGAACAAGTCTGCTACAAACTAATACTTCTAATCCTTAATATAAAACCTTGTTTGACTTTTATTTTGGTCATAAATATAAGACCCCAATCCACTTTGTCTCTCATATTTATATATTTTTTTCCAAAATAATTCTTCTAACAATAGTAGTTATAGCTAATACATTTAATTAGCAAGGATATTTTAGGAAAGACAACACATATTTATTACAAATAACTAACTTAACTTCTTTCTTTAATCTCCTCAAATTAATCAACTAGCTTTTATAATTAGGACCGGAGGTAGTATATTAAATGTAAAAGCTATAAGCTTCAACAATCAACGACTCGTGTAATAGTATATTAAGTTAATTACTTTGTTATTTTAATTTCCCATTTAATAGCGTTTTGTGTATATACTATTGTTTCAATTAAATGATATAAGCTCTTTTTCCCATATCAAATGACTTTATGTAATAACAAGGAGAATTATTATGAACTCCCTATAAAGTACTAATGTAATTATCAAAAAGCTTGAGTAGTACGAACTTCCTCTCCTATACCAAAGTCGTTACATGCCCAATTGTTGCAGAACTTTTTAGTAATCACATTCTTTGTTTTGGATCTTATAGTAATCCTCCCATAATAAAGCATGCTGCTTTGCTTCATATTGTAGCTTTGGGCATGCTTAGCAAGCCCAACCTCAGACAAATAACCTTACTGTATTACAAACACAAGGCATTTCACCTTCATTCTTTTCTTCGAACTGCCACTGGATGAACCTCTGGTATTCCCAATCATAACATATCCATTTTGTTTGAGAGCCTTATAGCACATATACTGAGCGATTCAAATGTTTTGATTTGTCAGCTAGGTCACGTTCAAGTAAAGGGATCTTCAAAGGCCTGAGCAGAACTTTGTCATCATTAGCATTATGAAAGCATCCTCTTTGCTTAGCATCATTCACTACCTTTCTCCATATTGAGCCACTTTTTTCTAGAGTTTCTGCATTCCCCAATATCCAAAGACAATGTCTGCCCCAAAAAATAAAAATCTAATCAACTCAACATTAGTGGAACTTCTCAAGCCTTGATTTTCTGCCTTAGTCGAGAGATTTTCATTGCTAGATCAGCTAGAAGGCATATCTAGAGTAAGATAAGTTTCCAAGGATAGAAGATTGGGAAAATTGAGGAAAAGTTCCCCATTAAAAATTTTTATTGATGAGAAAACCTGATAAATTTTTATAACACAGAAAATACGAATACTCTATAAATTTTGTACACAGAATGCCATTACTCTTATTTAGGTCCTCCCCAATAAATTTTCAATGGGAGACTTTTGCCCAATTTTTCGCAGGAAATTTATGTAGCTTGAGATGAAGTTTATGTATAAACAACCTTGTGCTGACGAACGACTTTACCTATTACATTTATAGATATGAGTTTATCTAAGAATTTCTCAAGCATAATATATATGCTATTTTGGTCACAACAAGTAACATACCTAGCACGAGTTAGAGCCACGTTTGCTCTTTGTCTATTAGAAAGGAACCCCACATTTCCCCTCCCATTTGATCTAACAGTGGAGATCATTATTATATCTTCTTCACCGCCTTGAAAGCCATCAACAGAACGAACACTCACAGAAAAGCTAGGATCTGACTCCATGTACTGCTTAACTTTCTCTTGGATTTCATGGACTTGAGCTTTATATGGAGACATCACACCTATGCTGAGTTTCCTTCTCTTGCTCAGGAACTCTGTAGCAGAAAAACACAAGGGATCATGTTCTGAGTTCCATATTGAGGAGTCTCAAAAGTGAAATACGGTTTATCAATTTAAGGAGATCTCCCACCCAATAAGCTAATCTTTTGAGATGGGATTTTCTTTTAGACTTGTGTTCATAACAAATCATTCATATATTCAAAGGGTTCTTCTCAACTAGATTGTGCCCAAGCAATTACTAAGTAAGTATCAACAAAGAATTAGCAAGAAACACACACACCTTTGTGCAGGCCTTTTATAATCTCAGAGATAGCAGCAACTTCCACCATGTTCTTCAAGCTGTGTCCATGACCAAATTGCTCTTGGCCCTGAGCTATGTTTATAAAAGAATAGGAGCTGTACATTTTTCCTTCAAGGAAACATGCACTGTAGCTTGAATCTCTGACATTCATGCCATCCACAAGTTGCCCTTCGTAGAATTCCCTATTGGGGAATACGCTTATGGATGGATGCATTCTAAATTGGATATAAAGCATATGCTTCATGAATCCCAGCAACACCAGCCTCTCAAACATGCTTCTTCCAAATCCAGCTTCATCAGAAATCTGAAATTTATTTTTCATAAACATACAAGATAGTGATCTTTGGTAATATCCACCAACACAGACCACAAATTAATGTTAAAAACTGATCAATACAAAATCTTAAGCTATTTAATGAAGGATTATCAATAGTTTTTTTTATAACACCTCCTCATACGTTAAAACACAATGCGTTAATAGAATGGAGAAACTAAAACCCACCTTAGCTTGTACTAAAACTTAATTTGAAATTAAGAAAAAGGGATAGCAAGGATCAAAATTCAAACCTCTTTTTCATACAAGCACTAGTATCTCATCCATAACAATTTGAATTTAAAGTTATAAGTTGTCAGGAGAATAACCATGAAGATTTCATCATAACCTCTAACAAGACATAATGACAACTCATTACCTTGCTCATGACCATTGCAGGAAGTTGCCTCTCATCACCTATGAGAACAGCATGTCTTGCACCTGGCAGTTGCAGAGGTATGGTTGATTCACATTCTGTGAGTTGAGCAGCCTCATCTATAACTATAAAGGGTATAGGTGTCATTCCTTCAGTGAACAATTTGGTAGAACCTGATGCCGTACAAAATATTAGGCATGCCTTCTTCAAGCAAATATCCATTATTTGAGAGCGTCTTTCAAGTTGAGGAAGTGAAATTGACTGAGAAAGTGATCTAAGTATGCTAAGGCACTCATCTCTTTTAATGCTTAACTTTCCAAAGCAAAATGCAACATCTTTTGTTGGGATATGTGTTTCCACAGGATCAAGCCAACGTATGATGGGCTTAAGAGATATTTGGATTATCCCAGTGCAGATGGCAAATAAACCCCATTTCTCTCCTTTCACATTTGGAACTTGTGGTTGAATAACATTACTTTTTTCCTCTACATTTTTTGTCGGAATCTCTATGAACTCGTTTTGGTGTAATGAATTTCCAAGGTCTTCAAGCAAATTAAGAGCTGCGCATATGTTCTGCGCCACCTCAAATGGAACAAGGGAAGTTGGTAGTTGTGAGTATAATGTTTGCAAGTCGGACTTGAGGTTCACACATATGAAACTGAACCTCCTCTTTATGAAATGAACTTCATCTACAAAAGAAAGGTATTGGTCATTAATGTAACTGTATCTCATCTTGACAAATTGCTCCAATGTCACATGATCGCCTTTATCTTCAAGATGCTTGTATGAAAGATAAGCTTGCTCTACATTGTTGTAATTAAGCTTAGCAAATTCTTCTAGTGACATAAGATCATTATCCTCCTCATGTTCCGCATTGAGATTAAATAGAAGATAGTGCTCACGAGGGTTCTCAAGCAAACTGATCATTGATTCCAAGTTGCGCTTCCATCCAGTCAGTGGAGAAAGACAGTGCTCAAGCATATCAACACGATAATCAAGAAAAATGTCAGGGAGACCCCAGTAATCATCAACTTTCATTCGAGAATTATTCCCAAAAAGCACTATGTCACCCAGCCCATAGGCATCAAACTGAAGTTGATCTTTAACTATACCACACAGGCGGGCCGCCACTTCCAACACAGCAGTATTGGTTGGAGCACATGTTAATGTTCTGGTTTTCAGCTTGAGCAGTGCAAACAGCAAGGATGCAACTGTCTTAGTTTTGCCAGTCCCCGGAGGGCCCCATACAAGTTTGATAGGGTGATTGTGATGACATTTCCTGATTGCGACAGTACTTAATACAATCTCTTTCTGGCTTTCATTCAGATTCTGAGATCTGATCATGTTTGTTGTAATATAAATGTCTGTATTATAGTGCTCCAATGAAGGGCAGATGTGACTGCTCTTTCCAATCTGCAAAACAAGGCGTGATAAAAGCTTCAACATGGCTGCCGTATTACTATCTGCAGAACAAGTTACTGTGTCTATGTACTGTTTGAGTGAGCTATAATAAGAAAAATGAGTTCATTCTTATCAGAACCTCTAGCAGCATAGCATGCATATTAATTAAAAAACATTTGATTCAGGTAAAATTTGGTAGACAAGGATTGTACTACTTACTTGAGTATAGGACATGTGAAAAATTCAAAAGTCATTTGTTTTATTTTGTATGTCTCAATTATTGTCTACCGATATATGTTCTCTACATTGTATATTAACAGTAGACCAAATACTTGTTAAAAAAGGGTGCTCACATGTTAAAAGCCACCTGATTCTTACCAATTTATCAGATTGCAGAACTTTTCCAATAATATTCAAGTTTGCACCTTCCAACTGTGAGTGCAAAGCCTTCCAAATACGAATATTGGTTGTCAAGTTGATAAGATACACGGCATAAAGCCTTTGCACATTGTTGTTCCTCATACCTGGATCAATCTCTATGCTCTTTGATGAGAGTATTGTGATCTGACCACTTTCTGACCATTGAACATAAGCAATATGATAAAATCTTCCAGGTTTGTTTAAGTCTTCAATGCCTGTTGGCCTACCATCAGTGAGGGCGATGAGATCCCCAGAGACGGGCTCATATCGTCCACCATGACTCTCATCAAATGTCATTTGATAGAGCAATCCCTTACCCATCCTCTCATATGTCAGGATTTCACAATTTGGGGCTTGGGAAATGCCCTTCAAGCTTGAAAACAGATCACCGTGTGTCTCCTCAATCAGTGAAGGAATAAAGGATTTCATGTATTCTGTTGCTGATAAAAATGTCAAAGGAATCTTTGGCACCTGAGAGACATCATCGTATTAAGTGTACTTGAAATGTCATAACATCCCGTTCAACAAAGTAAAGACAGAGTACCAGCAGGCCTATAGACCAGAAACAAATGAAAGTAGATAAGAACTTGAAAGATTAGTTGCTTAATGCAACCTTTGTGTGGAGTGCGAAACTTGCATTTAACCTTCAAGTTCAAACTTAGAATAAGGATAACTTGTTGCTTTCCTGTACTTGTTCATGGTTCGTGTTTCGATCATGAGGTGTTTTCCAGGTTGTGTTTTCTGTTTTATGTATTGCTTGTACATTTAATAAGATGTAGCAAAAAGCTAAGATTCAACTGAAACACAAGGATCAAATTAGGAAAAAAAAAAGGATCTTCATGGCCTCTCATGAGCACAACACTTTCCAGAGTTAATGAAAAAGAAAAGGAAAGAACAGAAAATGAAATGTAGAAGCTAAGATCAACATTAAAGAACAGAGATTGTCAGTGAAATATAACCCGACATGCTTAAAAGGGGAAGAAGGTAAGAAAAACCTTGTCTTTATAAAGATTTTGGTTAAGAGCATCGCTAAAAGTCCAAGAGAACACAATATCTACCAAGCTGGTTCTTCCCTTTTTCTTTCCCTTTCCATAGGAAGTCCTCTCCATGATTTGATCACTTGTTGTTTCGTTAAGCCAAAACACTGGATCACTCTCAGCTTTTCTTGGTGTGGTCTCGTTTATATTAATAAAACCCCGCACAAAGGAAAGAGGGTAAGTGTACGAACGGGCTATAGTATGGCATATGAAGAGTCTTTGAGACGCCAAAGATGAAAGATGCGAAGAGGAGGGAACCAGGTTCTCTCCACTGCCTTAAGGTTCGCTTTTGACGACAAGTCAATGAATAGCACAAAGTAGAAACAATAATGACTGATTTATAGCTATGTTTCGAATATCAAGTGACGTTTTGTTGCTTCTCTTCATACTTTCTGTTGGAGGAAAGCAGCCAACTTCAAGGCTAAGAAAAATGCAGACTGTGAATGATGTTTTGCGTCGTCTGTCACAGACGCTAGACTATATTGGGCAGTCCGAAAGACTAGAGTCAACAAATAGAGAGAACGTTTCACTTTTCAAAAGCAGTATCCAATGGGTAAGAGAGAAAGGAGTACGAACTCTCACTTGACCTCATGTGACAATCGGTTCGAAGAGTATTAATTTTTTTTGGCCACATATTTAACAAGGGCTGCCAAAGAATAAAAATTAATATGATGTAGTACTATAGTTAATACAAATAATATTAGAAGTTACTTGAATTTTTTTTATTTTTCTTCTATTAATTTAAGTAAATTAAAAAAGTTATTTAAGTTAATTATTTATAACAATAAGGCGTCTATTTGGATGTTAAATAAATACTTGTAAGTACTTTCACATAAATCGAGACAAAACTCTTGTCACATGTTTATATTGGATTCTGCAAATCACAATTAAAAAGCTGCTTATAACCTATTCCAAACAAGCCTTAGGTGTTGTTTTCGTTAAAATACTATTACTAATCATGTGTATTAGTTAAAACTACCATTTGATAGAACATTTAATATGTGTAACTACTATAAGGACAACTTTAAAAAGAAAGGATAAATATGATAGACAACGTAGATTATGGTCTTATATTTAGGACCAAACTACATATAAACTGACTTTTCTATTAAGAACCAGAGGTAGCATGACACATTTAATGTTTTACCTTTTTTTTTATTGGTACATTTGAATTAGTTAGAAATAATTTATAATAAGGAATATTTATAATTCACTTTTAATGTGTTTTACACAAATCAAGAAATTTTATATTTTGTTAACTTTGCCTCAAAATTTAACATTTTCTTAACTTTATCTATATTTAATATATATTTTTTCAATAAAATAATAATATACAAAATAATAAATAAAGAATAAAATAGTATATTCAAGTTAAAAATTTAAAAAAATAATTTATAAATAAGATAAAAAATTATATCTATCTAATAAATAGGAAAAAAACTAGTTCGTAGTTTAAATTGAATTATGAATTGGATCATATAGTAGTTTTTTCTTGTTTTTAGAAATAAAGAAAGTCGAATCTTTAATAGCGCCTCGTACCTGAGGAGGATGTAGGTTTTATACACGAAAAAAAAGGACGACAAATGAAATGGATGTGTAGAAAAAAGAGTACGAGGAAAAAAAAAAATTAATGCAATGAGATTAACTAATAATTAGTCGAGATAAAAATGAAAAACAATACTAATTAAAAATTTTAGACAGGCTATTAGTGCATACTACAAATAATAACATTATTAAAAATTTAAGAATTAGCCATCAAATGAGACATTTTATCAAATGAAAATAAATATGGAAAACATGTGCATTATTTAATGACATTGACTGATTTATTGTTTCATTATAAGTTAGAAATGCTTTTCAATTTTAAATAGATTATCATTTATTAAATTAGGAGCAGTAATTAAGAATATTTAAATGTAAAGTAGAAGTTCAAATACTAAATTGAAAGTATATGTGGAAGTAAGTATTGCTTAATATTAATGAGCTAGTTATTTGTTCTATATACTTAACATGGTATACCATTTCTACCAAAAAATAAAAAAAAAACATGGAATAACTTGTAAACAAATAAGACTATTTTTTTTTTCCATGGGAGGTAGGTGTTTCAATTCTTTTTTCTTCCCATGAAATCTTCCAAGAATTGCTATTAGTTCCTAAATAATTTTGTTCTTAAATTATTTAGCATTACAAATCTCTGAAACTAGGATCCTAACTTTAGCGTCAAATCCAAACTAGGATGCCTTTTGTTCTCTCCACTTCATTCGCATCAACTTGGATTGCTTAAGCATCCTCTCCAGCTTCTAAGCTCTGGCTTGCAAATGCCAGCAATTTTTAGTGGTGTTCCTGTTCCACATTACAAATTTTGAATGTATTCTATTTTCTTTTCAAGGGTGCATTCAAACTTAGATAAATTTTAAAAAAAAAGACGGAAAAATATCTTTTAAATTTCAAAAAGATAAATAGATCATGCTGAGCACTCTTGAAATGGTTTTGACACGTCAAAATCTATCAAAATCACATATTTATCATTTTAAAATTTAAAAAGTATGTATTTTTCTGTTATTTTTTTTAAAAAAAATTTATATTATTTTTATAAAATATAAATAGTCATATTATATGTATATTGAAAAGTTCATCAAAATTAATTAAATATAATAAATAAATATATAATTTTATATCTTTTATTTTATACAAATTAAACAAATGCACGTTCACAAAATGTCCACGCGAAATTAGAGTGCAGGGCTTTATCTCAATGCAGCGGATAGCGCTTCTAACATATAACTTATTTTTTAAAAAAAATTATTTACGAAGATAAAGTGAGTGAACGGATAACTAATACAGTAGTATAACGAGGCTAACCCCCAAAAAAAAAAAGTCTCTCGTATATATGATGGGACGGAATAATTTTTTTAGATTGAAAATTATCTAATTTCTATGATTTTGTATTACAAAATATATTGACTAAAATTCTAAATGATTTATAACAAGTTTGTACTGTGATTAATAATCATTTGCGAAAATTTTTATCAAATGTTTAAAAATTAATTATTAAAATGATTTCAAACTATATAATTTTAAAGTATGATAATAACTTTAATTTTTTAAATTTGTTAACTTATAAACTTTATAATAATTAAGGCTTTTAACTACAACTTGAAAATGCTGTGCAGACAACCAATCCTTAAAATCTAGATTTGACGTGAAAATTTGTATTTTTTTCCTTTTATATATAATTTTGTCTAAACTCTAATCTCCACATTAATAATGTAATAATGAACTAATGATAGATAAATTTCGGAAAGTATAATATATGCGCAAGCCCATTATTTTAATTTCTTTTGGAAATGTATGACTAATTTTAACTACATATAAATTATTTTTTGAATTATTTTGCATTCTTATCAGCATTAATTATTTATAATTCATAAATTTTAATCAATATCATTTGATAATTAGTAATTATAATAATTCGAAAATTAGTTGTCATAAATTTTCCAAGGAAAAAATAATTCACAACCATTTTCTTAATTTATATGACGTATGCTTTAGTTAAATTTAAAATTTTAAATGAAATAGCAAACAAATTCAATTTTCATAAAACTCTAATTTCCATGTTAAGACAATGAACAAGGATATCTTCATTCATTAATTATGTCATTTAAAAATTAGTAAATTTAAATTTGTATTATATACGTGTGAATTTTCTTCAAACATTAACACTTGCTAGACCCAGATGGTTAATAGTAAATCATTTAACTTCACCATTCAAGTTGGCTAATGTTGTTGTTGTTTTTTTTTTTTTTTTCTGCCAACAAGTTGGCTAATTTTGTATGGAATAATGGTTAAAGGGGGAAAGAATAACATCTATATATTTCCCTTGGAGGTTCTCTATTTGTTTTAATTTTTTTATGATAATGGTATCTTTGATTATTTAGCAAATTTATTCATAACTATGAAAGCAGATACAATGCTCCCTTGTGGTTGCATAGAGAGCAAGTTTTGATTATGTTCTTCAAAATTGTTGACCAAAATGCACGTCATAAGCATTCGTTTCTTTTCAATTCAAATCGCCTCTTATAGGAAAGCCCAACTTAACACGCATGATAGCACAATATACTAACATGTACATATCAAATTTACAGTAACTTTCTCGTTTTTTAATACTATCTCTTATTCTTAATATAAGACTCTATTTGATTTTTATTTTGATTCTAAATATAAGACTCCAATCCACTTTGTCTCTTATATTTATACATTTTTTTCAAGATAGTCCTTCTAATAATGGTAGTTCTAGCCAATACACTTGATTATCAAAGATATTTTAGAAAAGACAACACCTATTTGTTACAAATAACTAACTTAACTTTTTTTCCTTAATCTCTTCAAATTAATAAACGTAACTAGCTCTTATAATTAAGACCAGAGTTAGTA